GGAGTTAATCCAGTGGATGGCTGGATCCAGAGAGTGCTGGGGAGTGGAGTTAATCCAGTGGATGGCCAAATGATGTTCCCCAGGGCTCAGTCCTTTTTAAAATTTTTATTGATGATCTGGATGAGGGGTTCAATGTACTTCTGCTATTCCTGAACTTTAGTCCCACATTGCTTGCATAGGCTGCTGAATGTGAGTAACAACGTTAAAATAATCAACGTCATCAGTTACCATAAAAATGAATTACCAGTTAAGGCACTAGCAACACAAATCCAGAATAAGACATGACAGATGCACCYAATAAACAGTTACTGACATAATTCTAAGTAAAGGCATTACTCGTCTTCCTCCTGCTACYTAAGTATTTTTGCCATTTAGACGTAATCTAGATGGATGCATGTAGCTCCCATAGGGCAAGAAAAAGGTTTAAGACAACAAAAGTATTACTGACAATTGTTTGACTCACCAATTTTGTAAAAACTTCAACCAGGAAAAGAACAAAATAATTTAACCATATACTGGATGACATTTTCAGAATAGCTCGCCACRAATACTTCTCCTTATTCCCTAAACATCCTTTTAAAGTAATTTATTTCTGTCATTTTGTTTCTAAATTAAAGAACAGCTCTTCTTTTTGTAAACAAAACTGTGCGCAGATCATGATGATGATAATGATGATAATAACAATAATAATACAAAAAAGACAGCGTTCCTCTTGCACACCTTTTGCCCCTAGAGCCACAACAGCCACTGCTGGGCAAATCAACAGGTGGGGAACTGCAGGGAACAAGCATTCCCAGATGATGATGCCATTAACTTRGGACAGGACAAGATGTACCAAAAAACATCAGGTGCCTGGAGAGGAAGCTAAATGAAAATAACTTCTGAAGAGCACTGTCTTTTCCTAATTTCCTACAAGTCCAGCATCCACTCAACCTCAGTGTGGTAAGCAATTTTTCTAGCTGTCAGGGTCTGCTCTAATTCTTCCCCCAGATGCTGTCATATGAGAGGATGTCACCCAACCCACATACCACAGGAATTCTGGCAAATAAYTCAGTTTGATACATTCCTGCTCCTGGCCATGGGTGAGATTAAGGTTGTCAAGAATCCTGCACTYCTGGATGATTCAAGAAATGGCCTCAGTCAAAGGCCAGGTTCATGATTATGTTCTGGATGTGTAGTGTATCAAAACCAGGTTTTGTGATGTCAGTACACAAGAAACAGTCTAATATTCAACAACTCTGCTCCTCACCCAAAATAAGTGCAAGATTTTTTRAGTAAATGTAAAGGCACAGGTGTTCTAGTAGTAAGTGAGCTGAAGTATGACACTAGTCCTTTAAAACTGCAAGATGATAGTCCTCTTCCTTTGAAACCTACTCTTTAAAGTAAACTATACACTAKGACAAGATTCCTTCTCTTGAGTTTCACAATAACACAGACCCCCAAGGATGCCAACTACTCAAGGACTCCTATCTGTTGTCCAGATCCCATTACACACTCATTACCTGACTCGTTTGATAAAACCTACAAGAGCATTTAAAATGTTAATGCATTGCCCATTTTTGTAAGCTGGTGCATACCTGAGGAGTCATGTACACAGATGGATCATTCTGTGCATTGACAGAAAAATAACAACTCTTTACATTAAGTCTAAAGCAAGCTCTACCTCACCTGTGAGATTAAACAAACAAAAACCAGCAAAAAAGTAAAGGAAGTTCCTCCAACAGAAACTGTGCTGAAGAGTCAATGCTTTAAACATTAAAAAAAAAACAAACAAGATCTTCTCCAGAAAAGTCTCTC